CAAGAGTCTGAAGAAGGTTCTGAAGAAAGTTGTCGCCAAAGAAGCTCATGAACAGCTCGCCATTAGCGACGCGAAACTGGGCGGAGTCATTAAAGTGAGTACACAGCAATTTGCAACAGAAACCGTTATGGCAGGAGGAGTAGATTGAGTCTGACGGTGTGTTTTCCTCAGGAAAAGCTGGACCTGAGCTGTGTCCACAGCCCCGCCGTGGCCGAGCTCATGAGGTGCATCCGCAGCCAGATGGAGGCCCTGATCTCCGGACTTCCTCCCAGAGAGATCAGCGCCATGTCGCTGGGCTTGGCTCACAGGTCGGTAGCTCGCAGGCTGAGGGAGTTGGGGAAGCGGCTGCTGCCAGTGATTACATTTTGCTGTCTGAAAATATCCGTGTGGATTTTCCTCAGCATTCGTCACTACCACTGAGGCTCTTTGGTCTTTATTTATTTTTTTGATCTCGATTAACAGAAAACAGTGCTTGTGAATTAACTAGATTTTATTGTTTTTTTTCCCCCCATCTGTTTTCAGTTTGTCCCGTTATAAGCTCAAGTTCAGCCCCGACAAAGTGGACACAATGATTGTGCAGGCCATCTGTAAGTGTGTAGTTTATATACATATATATGAAACATTTCATATTTGACTATTTTATTGAGATTTTTGTAATCAACCAAGTAGTGTATAATGGTAAAATGGAAGAATATAAATAAGCCTGGTGCAATAAGCACTTAATTGCATGACAAATTAAAATGAGCTCAGTAATTTCCATTCTGATGAGTAATAGTTTTTGAAGGACACTTTTTTTTTTTTTTTTACTGATTGTCTTCCAGTTGCAATGTGGAGTGTTGGATGCAAAAGTAAAGCTAATTGAGGTCAAACTTGCATCATAGTAGTTAAGAATAGGGGTGCCTTGATTTATCGGCCAACCGATTTCCTTAATTTTGGGACATTTGGGATTGGCATATATTAATAAGCATTAAGTAATTGTATATAAAGTAGAATCTGTTTGTGATTGGCCTATTCTGTATGTGCAGAGCTTGTAGCCCAGAACTACATTTTGCTGTAGATGTTTTACCACTCATCAAGAATTGTTGTGCGTGTTAGTGATGTGAGTTGGGCTATTTATTTTTTATTTTTCTTCGTCGCCAGCTCTTCTGGATGACCTGGACAAGGAGCTGAACAACTACAACATGCGCTGCAGGGAGTGGTACGGCTGGCACTTCCCTGAGCTGGGGAAGGTCGTCACAGACAACCTGGCCTACTGCAAAACCGTCCGCAAAGTCGGTAAGCTTCATTCGGAGTGGGGGAAAAAACAAAGATTGCTTTTCTTGTAGGAAATGTCGATTTTTAAAACTCTTTGTCTTTGCAGGTGACCGCACCAACGTGGCCACTACCGATCTGTCGGAGATCCTCCCGGAGGAGATTGAAGCTGAGGTCAAGCTAGCAGCCGAGATCTCCATGGGAACAGAAGTGTCGGAGCAGGACATTGGCAACATCCGGCACCTGTGCGATCAGGTAGAGGTCTTTCGTAAAAGCGCTAGCACGTTTGAGAGCGGCTGTGATGATGACGCTGACAGTCGTCTTCATCCTGAAACTTTCGGTGTGGGTCAGTCACTACCTCCTCTGAACAGCTGCAGGTCAACGCGAGGCGTCCGGCTGGCCGAGTGCATGTCTGTAACATGGATCTGTTGTTTCCTCTCAGGTCATCGAGATCTCAGAGTACCGCGCTCAGCTCTACGACTACCTGAAGAACAGAATGATGGCTATCGCCCCGAATCTGACGGTGATGGTGGGCGAGCTGGTCGGCGCGCGCCTCATCTCCCATGCTGGTCAGTGTAAAGGGAAAAAAAAAGAATCAGTTCTCTGTCACTTTCCACAACAAGTGTGCACAAAACTTTACTGATATTTTGCCAATGTAAAAAAAAAAAAACCCAACAATTTCGCAATTTCTCATTAATTTATAAAAAACATGGCATACTATTCTCCTACTACCACTTCCGGTCTTCTTCTTTTTCGCCAGTAGTAACATCTGTTTGTCGATCACATGATTTGTCTGATACAAACATTTTTTCGTCATTTCAATTTGTGCAATCATGTTCAGTGGAAACGCAGCTATTGTCAAAAAATGATCATTACTGTATCTGGCCTTCTATTACTGTTCATCTATTTGTTGTTGGGTTTTTTTGTCATAAATGAATGAATTCATAGTAAATTTATTCAGTAAAAATGGACCAGAAAATACTGCTCTGGGAAAACAGTGACATGAGCGAAGCAACCGTGTATTTAAAGCGACAGCAGTGATGATAACGACAGGATGTCATTTTGCTGAATGCATGTGATGGTTTTAAGTCACTACCTCATCTGAGCTGTCATTAGGAGTCCCTGCAAACAGATTCTGACCAGAAAGATGTTCTTCATCCTCTAATTTTTATTTATTTATGTTTTTCTTTGTGTTAAGGTTCCCTTCTCAACCTGGCAAAGCACCCAGCCTCCACAGTGCAGATCCTCGGAGCCGAGAAGGCCCTGTTCAGAGCGCTGAAGACCCGTAAAGACACTCCCAAGTATGGGCTCATCTATCACGCCTCTTTGGTGGGTCAGACTACGGCTAAGAACAAAGGAAAGGTGAGTTCAGGACACCTGTCGCAATAAAGCAAAAATTATTTATCAAAATGATAGTGATAATTTGCGCAAATTGTTGAAAAGTCACCATTTAGAGAAGTACTGCAAACAATTGACACCCAGTACAAAGTAGATAGTTTGCACTACCTTCCCCTTGTGCCTGTTCTCCCTGTCTAAGCTGAATTATTTTTTCAAATGCAATTTTGGTTAGAGATTTCATCATCAATTTAGTTAGTTTTGTTCATTTTGTATAGTTCAATTCAAATTTCAAAAATACTTTAATGATCCCAAAAGGAATTAAAAAAAAGAAAAAGAAAAGTCTCAAAATGACATCACTAAATCAAATGCTCTCCTGTCGCGTTATGTCCAGATTTCCCGAATGCTGGCGGCTAAAACAGCGCTGGCTATCCGATACGACGCACTTGGCGAGGACACGAACGCAGAAATGGGAGCAGAGAACCGGGCCAAGCTGGAGGCCAGACTACGACAGCTGGAGGACAGAGGAGTAAGAGTCCGAAGATCGATTCTGACCCGCTTTGTTTGTCCTCCTTTGTTTGCCTTTAACTCCCGATTTCTTTCCCGCCACAGATCCGAAGAATCAGCGGAACAGGCAAAGCAATGGCAAAGGCAGACAAATACCAGCACAAGAGGTGAGGAGCAACTTGTTCCTGCTTTTTGGGAGTTTTCTTTTTTTTTTTTTTTCCCCAAGTGGGATTATTAAATGCCTTTTTGTTTCTTCCAACTCAGCGAGGTGAAAATCTATGATCCATCCGGCGACTCGACAATTCCGTCCACCTCGAAAAAGAGGAAATTTGAGGAAGTCGAGGGGGAGAAGAGTGAACAGGACCCTGTACCTGTAACCAAGTTCAAAAAGCCCAAAAAGGAACCGGTAGCAGAAGGTGTGTGTATTTCAAAAGAGAAAAACTCTTCCAAATACGTTCAGGAATCCACGATGCTCAAAAACGTCCCCGTCTTGTTTTCTAGAGCAAGAGGTCGAAACGGCAGCAGAGTCTCCCAAGAAAAAGAAGAAGAAGAAGGAAAAGAAGGCAGAGGAGGAACCTGAGGAGCCAAAGGAAGAAGATGAGGAGATACCAATCAGTGAGGAGGTAAACTTCACATATTGAATCAAATTTTTTATAGTTTTAATTAATTTTTTTTAACTGCTCTCGTCTTTGCTTTTCAGCCAACAGAAAAGAAGAAAAAGAAGAAAAAAAAGAAGGTGAAGGAGGAAGAGGATGATTGAAGAGTTAGCATAGTGTATATTCTTTATTTTGGCTTTTCTTTCTTTATACATTTGTCTCAAACATTTTTATCTTCAAAAAGGCACAGCAGTATTATGGTGCCTATTCCCTGGCATGAAAGACGAATGTGAAATTCGGCAGATCTCATTTTATGGATGAGAGAGAGCGTCGCTCCAGTCATGAGTGAAATCTCACGGAGTTTCTAATGTTTCTTTTTTATCCGTTTAATTTAGCTGTTTTCATGTTGAGACGTCTGTATGAAATGAGATCAAATGTGAATGACGAGACAAATAAATGGAGATTTCTCATTTGAGTCATGACTGTTTTCTGTTTCATAAAAATCTAAACTTGTGCCCTAATTAAAAAAACTTACGTAATTTCTCAAAATTTCCCTGAAGCCATCGTTTAGATGTCAAAACTACAGATTTCTACATTGAAAGTCTTGTAATTGAATGACTGAATAATAAGCATTATCCATCAGGATGAAACAGGGTAGTTTTGATTTAGTCAGAGGTCAAAAGAGTTTACTGTACGCATATGAACTGGAATAAAGTTAAACAGATTGTAGGCAATGCTCTTCAATTGCTGACTGTGTTCTATGACTATTTTCGTGTTTTTATAATATAAACCACATTGCTGTGGTTAACCACATTGTCTTGCTGCTGAATTGTGGTATGTAAATAAACATGATTGATTGGATAAATATTCAAGTCAGTGTTAATTAGTCATCGTCATTTATTCTTAATGCTTGATGGCAGTGGTAAATTAACAAGTTATTAGCATTAGGGCTAATAATGCTAGCTTTTTTGTCTTTCTAAATTAAATCTCCGTTTAAAAACAACCTTTTAATTCACTCGGGTTATCTTTTTTTATGATTGAAATTAGCTTAATAGTATGAAGCATTCAAATGTGATAAAAGTTAAATTATAATGAAGTATTTTATTACACATATATATATTTTTTTATTTATTTAATATGAAGAAGAAGAGACCTCACAGTACTTAGCTTCTATTAAAACTTTCGGAACAAGTGCTATGGATGAAGGTTTGAAAATGCCACTCATAAAATGGCGCTGAAGTTGCCGTAGAATTCATTCGCGCGTGCGTCAATGGGGTAGTGCTCAGTAACCAGTCATGATCAGGCGATCAACGAGTCGCCGAACTCGATCGGTTTTCGACTTGAAAGTCTTCCCACACAGCACATGGCGACACTGCATGAGAATTGGATATGTTATGAAGTGAAGCGGAATAGTTTTATGACAGTTTGCTAATTTCTGGGATATATATATACATTTTTGTCTTACACAAGTCAAAATGTCGCAGTTACAGGCGAGGTTCTTCACAGAAGACCAAAGGTGAGACTGTAAACAGAGACGCAGTAACAACGCTTTAAGCTAACTGAGCAGCTAGTTCGTGAAGCTAAACTGTAGTAGAGTCAAATTTATTTAATCTTTGCGGTTGAGTTCTGTTGTTGACTTAGTACTAAAGTGCACGTGGTCCGTAATTTTAGCAAGCTATTTATAATAAACGTAAAGTTAGGACTAGCTGCTGTCATTATTTACCTTTTAATTTAATAGCACTGAAACAGGCTGATAGCTCTCTCTCTCTCTCTGTGTAGGTATGTTGTAGATGACGTCCCTTTCTCCATCCCAGCTGCCTCTGAAGTCCAGGATCTTAGCAACGTTATCAACAAGCTCCTGGAAGCAAAGCATGGTAAAGTGACAGAAAACATAAACAATTCAAATTATGCTACCATGAGCATAGCTGCTTTTACCCAAGAAAACTGGCACATATCTTATAAAATAAAAAGTATTTATTTTCCGTAATTGCATGAAACAGCAGTCGTAGCCTCACAAAGATGAATACTGTTCTAGAAAAATACTCTTGAACATAATGATGCCTTCATGGAACAAATAGTGGAGAAAATGTAAACATTCCTGACAATACTGTAAATTAATGTGGCTTTTAAATGCCATTAATTGGAATTGATCATGATAATGAATCTAAATTGTTAGGATAAGCCTTCAAATTATTTTTTGCAATACTATGAAACAATATTCTCAATTTACATTTAAGTAACCTTCCATACCAAGACATAAGGAAAAACTTTTGCAAACTATCCAGTTACTTGTTGCAATATTGCTGATTTAAAAAGAAAATCCACAAAAACTGGCTATAAATTCAAGATATAACCGCGGTTCATTTGTTACAGTATTTTGTGCTTGCTCCAACAGCATCTCACAGTAGAGTGGAGTTTGACTTCCTGGTCAAGGGTCAATTCCTGCGAACCCAGCTGGCCACTCACATGGAGACAGAGGGAATATCAACAGTAAGACCGGCCTGAACTTTCTTTAACTTTTAACTTTAACTGTTCTAAAACCCAGTAGAGCTGAGTGTTCCCGTCTGTGTTTCAGGAAGACGTAGTGGAGATAGAGTACGTGCAGCGGATCACGGCGCCAGAGCCGGAGGAGTGCATCATGCATGACGACTGGATCAGCTCCGTGGAGGCGGACAGCGAGTGGTAAACGTTTCCTGCTTTGGTTTGGCAAATGTCACTTATTCCCTTTAACAAAGCTCCAGTTTTGTTAAATATTCCCCCCTGTTTTCCAGGATCCTAACAGGATCGTATGATAAGACAGCCAGGATATGGTCTTTGGAAGGGAAGGTGGTGACGACAGTGGCTGGACACTCTGATGTGGTGAAGGATGTTGCCTGGGTCAAAAGAGGTCAGCTTGCTTAGACCTTTACATCCCAGTTTGTAGGTTCTTTTTTTTTTTTTTTTACTTAAAGTTGTGTTTTGCTGTACAGACGGCCTGACGTCCTTGCTCCTGACTGCATCTCTGGACCAGACCGTCCTGCTGTGGGAGTGGAACTCTGAGAGGAACCAGGTGAAAGCCAGACACTGTTGCCGCGGACACACAGGAAGCGTCGACGCCATTTCCACAGACCCCACAGGCTCTAAGGTCAATATTTAAAGCGTTAGTTAGCGTTTTATTTTTGAATCGAAAAGCTCAGATTAAAAGCGTTTTCTCCATTTCCTCCAGTTCTGCAGCGGCTCCTGGGACAAAATGTTGAAGATCTGGTCGGCGGTGCCCACGGAGGAGGCGGACGAGGTGGAGGAGTCCGCTGACCGGCCCAGGAAGAAACAGAAGACGCAGCAGCTCGGCCTGACCAGGGTGCGCACAGAACCCGACCTGGAAGAGCTTAAAACCGCACCTCCAGCTTCTGACTCGTGTTTTCCTTCTCCAACACAGACTCCCTTGATGACGTTGTCCGGACACAACGAGGCGGTGTCCTCCGTCTTGTGGTGTGACAGCGAGGAAGTGTGCAGTGCATCCTGGGACCACACCATCCGACTATGGGACGTGGAGGCTGGAGTCATGAAGACCACGCTGGTAAGAAGAGCAGTGTTTCATGCCACTATTCTCAACTAATAGTCCCCACCCAAGTGAGCCAGCTACAGCTGCAGTTTTTCTTGAAATTTTAACATATTAAATTTAAATGTTGTTAAATTTTAAAATGATCAAGAAGAAATTTCAGAGTTTTTTTCTAGCAAATTTTTGACTGAAAATTAAATCTCAGAAAATTTTGAGGGGGAAAAAAACGTGGGAATTTCCAAGTTTGAAAAGTCAAAAATTTCCTAGAACAAAACTTTGAGATTAAAGTTTTGTTTAACTTTAATCTCAAAGTTTTCTGTCATTGTTCTAGAATGAAAAATTCTTAGTTTGAAAAAGAATTTCTCAAAGATTTCTGAGATGAATCTCAACTTGTTTTCTGTCAAATTTTGGAAACCAACACATTTTCAACCTCAATGGAAGTTTTATTTGAGAAAAAAAAACTTTGAAATTTCTGAGTTTGATGAGTTGAAAAATTTGTAAGGAAAAAAAAAGTTTTGTGATCAATCTCACAAATTTCCTTCTTCGTTCCAGAAAATGTTAACTTTTAGGTGAAAATGTACACTTCCTCTTTTTTTTTCCATCTGTAGTGGCCCTAATCGTAAATTTTCCTTTATGATGAGTGAAGTATATTTGAATTTAATTAAACTGAATTGAAAAATCGCTCGACATCTGATTGGTAGATTTTAATTAGATTTAGAAGTGGGCCAAAACCTTGCTTTTTTTTTTTTTTTTCCTCCACCGCTTTTAGAAAAATGGACTTCCTGCTAATTGGTTCTTTGAGTTGTTCCCTAGCATAATAATATCCCAATAAAATATGTTGAAGATTATTATAATGCCAACCAATGCTGAAATGATGAGCACTTTGATATATAAATGTGTGGGAGTGGTTTTGTAGATGCATCTGTTTACTAGTAAATTTCTGTCATGTTTCCCACAATGCATTCTGTTTTGTTCCCCCCCAGTCGGGCAGTAAAGTGTTCAACTGCATCTCCTACTCTCCTCTGTGTCGACGGCTGGCCTCAGCCAGCACCGACAGACACATCAGACTCTGGGACCCTCGCACCAAAGGTACCAACTGAGCTTAAATTATCAGGAAAAAAAGTTTTACAAACAACCCCTCTTCTTTTCTACTTTCTCATGTCATTTCTGCAACTTCTGCTCATCAGACGGAACGCTGGTGCTGTTGTCTCTGACGTCCCACACCGGCTGGATCACCGCAGTCAAGTGGGCGCCTTCCCATGAGCACCAGCTCATCTCCGGTTCCCTGGACAACCTGGTCAAACTGTGGGACACCAGGAGGTACGCAGATACAAAGTAGTTGAAACTCTGAAAATCATGATGAAATTAGATGTTTGAAACTCGGTTGTTCATAATCACATTGATCCACCTTTGACTCTTGGGCACAAAAACTGTATTTTA